AACAAAGCAATTACAATCAACAACTGACTTGGTTTTCTTGCAATTCTACTGTTCAAATTGTAGATGAAAGATCGGATCTAATATACAATAGCCCTGCTTGAAAGAAACCTGGTGTGTGGAGAATACAAATTATCACACTTCCTGATCTGTAGTTTTTCCATATGCAAGGATGTTGTTATTACTGTTTATTGTGATCAGATATATAATCAGAACATTATGACATATAGATTCCTACATGTTTTTCTAAATAAATACACAAGCTTAGTTATGAGCGTACAAATAGTGTTTTCCATGTCCTCTCTTTAAAGGTTTTGTACATAAAATAATAACCCAAAAATCAATATGGATGATATCCTGCAGCTTATTCTTTCTCAGGACCACAGGCATGCACGGCAATATGTTCTTGCTGATGTGGCAGCAAAATCATGTATATTGAAATAATATCACAAGTCTTAACTAGAAATAAAGTAAACATACTGGCCATATCCCATAGCTCATTTAACTTGAAAAAGACATCTTCAAGTCAAGCTTGACTCTTAGTAATTGCATTGATACGTCCATGTAATTTTCTCAGTAACTGGTGAAATTGTTTGTCATTGTTTTAGTTCAAGTTGGGCTTCGTTGTTGTTTTGACTGCCCACTCTAATATATAGATTGATACATTTGTGTATTATGGAAACACCAAAAAGGAATCAAGTGACCCAATCATTTAATTTTCAAGGAGTTAAATTTTACCTCAGACAGACTCATCCTTGAATAAACCAATTACAGCTAGCCAGTCAGCCACATTACAAGAATCCACATGGAACCAATAAAAGCAATGCCTTGCTGGTTCACACTTTGGCCCATCTAGTCCAGCCTACCAACTATAAAGGTAGTCAACTACTCTCCCATCAAATGGCCTTCAGAGGTAGTCACACCATCATCAAGACGAACAGCCATTGATCCTCATGACTTCCATTAATTGGTCCAACTCTGTTTTGAAGCCAGCCAAGCTGGTAATCAGCACCACATCTTGTAACTGTATTCTAATATCTAAAGATGATATGCTATGTAAAACAAAAATCCTTGTATTTATTCTGGTTCTTCCAGGATTCAATTTCATTGGGTAACCTCTTGCTCTAGTCTTTGGAAGAGGAAAATAGCACCTACCTGTTCACTTTATCCATACCATGCAGTATTTATGCTTATTTTAAGGTTTCTTGAAAAGCCTGAGACAACATACAAATTAAGAACCTTTCAAAACAGATATTTCTAGAAACTGGGGGGACATCATAGGTACTCTCCATTGCCCTTGCTTCCATGTGATACCTTTAACTAATAAATAACAGATTGTTTTTGTTTAATATATTTAGGCTACTAGAGCTTAGAAGCATGTTTTTTCCTAGAATTGTCCATTAGAGTTAAAGTAAGCATATATATCTCTCTTTTAGGTAATATTATGTGATAATTAATGGCCCGCATCCATTTCCTTGAATTTATTAACAGGGAAAGAAACCATTCATCAATGAGGCTGCACTGTTCACATGATGTTTACGAGTGCCTATTTTTCCATTAAAACAAAGTTCTAAATAATTCAGCTATTTTTATTTCCAAGAAAGAGAATTTCCTTGCACAAAAGCAGTTACCAAAATAATTATACTTCTTTCAGATGTTTCCTTCCATTATATTTAAAAAAAAAATATGATTCACTTTCCTGTAGTCTAAACCATGGGATAAGAGACTAAAAGAGAGACAAAAGGCAGATAGAAAATTCATCTAAGGTTCTACTGTTTCTTCAGAAAAATATTATCAGCATAATGAAAAGTTAGGCAAACCTTGGGATTTTGAAGTAAGACCATTAAAATGAATTCCCCTTACTTTTGTTCAAGGGCTAGAAGACTGCAGCCCAAAGTACTCCATATGAAAGAAAGAATAATATTTATGAAACAGCCTTGCAACCACCAGTGTGACTGGTTCAAAATAATGTTTACTAGTCTATGACCTTGCACAAGCTTGTGCAGTATTTTTCCATCTTGTACTGTATGCTAAATGAGTCTCTGTTTAAAATCTTGCTTCAGAATGCTTTAAGCATTTGCTAAGTGAGGAGGTGAGGGTAGTTGAAATATAACTCAGTCCAGCTGAGTTGGTCATAGTCCAGCATAAAAACCGATGAAGGGCCATAGATACCCTTCTCCTTTGCTTAATAAGCTTTGATTGTTTGTAGGTGTTACATGACCAAAATCCAAATCTTTGATATCCATACACACAAAAACCCTGTAGAAAACCCATCCTTGATTCCCTAAGAAACCTCCGAAATTATTCTTACTCTGTAATTTTAGAATGTCTCTACTAGGAAATCCATTTTCCTTCTTTCCTTCTTTATCCAGCACATTTGATTCCTTCTGAATTATAATCACAAATCCACAAAGGGACCATCATATGGCTCAGTTTTCTACTTCCTTTTCTTCTTCTCCTTTTAAACATGTGTATTGTTCTTATTACAGATGGGGGGCTGCATAATATGGCATATTTGAATACACTCTCACACCAGAAATAAATGTAAATAGAACAACTCCCAGCAGCCTGCCTCCTGCTCCTCCTCCATTCATATTTGCAATTCCTTATCTTCATTTTGCTGGGTTACATTGCAGAGATTCTGTACTGCAGATAATCATATTGGATTCATTCTGTGCTAAGTCATAAACTAGGGTTATCTTATCAGATTGCATTGACTGAGTCCTTATTAAATGCTAAGCCCAATACAGAATGACTTAGCATTTTTGGGGCCTCCATCTGAGTGTGATTATCAGGAAGAGCTCCAGATAACAATGCTTTGAAATCGCCTCTGGCCAGAAAAATAAACTTTCAGGAATGTGCTATATTTTCTCTGGCGACATTGGCAGATTGGTTTTGATGGTAGCAGCTGGAAATCCAATGCATATGCAGTAATTCATCTATTTTTATTGCTCCTGCTTCGTCCCAGTCTGCCCCCTCCTATCTCCACTTTACCTGAGGTCCCACATGGGTCCTGTTAGCTGGTAGAAATAAGCCCAACTGCCTCCCTGCAATCACACCCAGTACAAAGTCTGTCGTGAAATATTTATTCTTTGCAGAGCCTGACAACATCATGACATAGCAGATGTCTAGGTGAAGTCTATTTTAAGCTGCAAATCTCAAGTTATAAAATACAACATCTGCTGTACATACATAATTGGGCATGCTGCTGTAAGGGAAGAGAAATGTGGGCTGCATGATGTCTATCCATTCACGCAAACAGATATTCAAGATAGGGCTTTTCATCAAAAGAGGGATTATTTCCCCCCCCTCCCCCGCAAAGCAGGTTCCCTAGAAACAGGGTCAGAGCACCAACATCAGTTTGGTAATAATAAATAACAGGAGAGGGGGAACAGTGCCATTCAATGTGAGAAAAATGATCGTTTTCATCAGAGTCTGGGATGTTCCTGAACTTTGCCTTTTTTTCCGGTTGAAGCTCTTAAAGGAATAAAACTGGGCTTTACACCCAGAGGTGCTCTCCCTTGGGGCAAAATAAAATAAAACTCACAATTTTTGTTCTAAAAATGTTACCACCCAACTGGGGTTCTTGAAATAATCAACTGAGGGAAACTGCAGCCATGTGTTCTTACTTGTTAACTAAATGTTCTAGATCAGGGGTCCCCAACCCCTAGTCTGTGGATGGCACCGGTCCATGGCATGTCAGAAACAGGGTCACACAAACAAGCAAAGCCCCATCCATGGGATGCAGGCAGCACACGAAACTACGGCCCTTCTGGTCCACGCGAAATCCTCTCTCCACAGAACCGGTCCCTGGTGCCCCAAGATTGGAGGCCACTGTTCTAGATCCAATCCCAAGGGAACTCCCAGAAATTCCTATTAACAAAACAAGTCTTCCTGGGCAAAAGGTAACCAGTTACTTCTAATACCCATCTGCCATTTAAAAAAAAATCTAGCACCTTGGACAAGTTGTCCAGTAACAGAACTAGCCATGTTAATCAAGGTTGCTTGGTCCAATCTGTGCAGGAAACAGATTTGGGAAGGAAGAGCAGGAAGTTTTGAGCAGGAAGAAAGACCTCTGCCTCCTTAGTCTACAATATGAAAAATGTATTCAGAAATCCTTGCCAAGATCAGTCTTACTATCAGGCAATGTGAAGGAGTTACTTTAAATTACATACTCTTTTCTCTAGTGTCCATTTGTACAAATTATTTTCTAAAAAACATAATCTTCAAAATATTGATGGGAAGACATTGAATTTCGCATCCAGTTGTCATTAGTTCAGCATTTCTGTTTTATACAGAGGATAAAGTGGGATGGGGATATGATCCCATATGACCCACCAGATGCTGCTTCCAGCAGTTACAATCGTAAAGGAAGCTCGGACATCTGGAGGGCTGTGGGTTTTTCTATCTCTAGCCTACAAACGGAAATTATGTGAACCTGAATGATTTGGACAGAACAATTGGCAATATCATTTTATCTTAATTCGAAATCAATTCCCCAGTTCAGTCCCCACCATATGTGTTTGGGTTGCTGGAAATAGCAGAAGCTGCAACCTCAAAACAAACAGGTTGGAGATGTTAAATACAACTATAAATTCTCTTACATGCTTTCCTTCGAGCAACATTTCAGAAAATGGTCCAATTTGATCATTGTTCTTAACCCTACTTTTACTTCAGTTCATTGATTTGTCCAGATATATTGGAATATGCTAGAAGCTTCTATCAGGGATGGACTAAGGGTTTTACTGCTATACATATGCATGGTCTTCAGTTAAAATATGGACATGCATACACAGAACGATAAGGATCCAAAGACAGCACTGGATTCATACTGTGAAATGTTTTATCCATGTACACAACTCAATTTCTCCATGCTTCTTCCATGTCTCCTCTCCTTCTATTGCTGTTGTAAGAAAATGAATTTAACATCACACATAGAAATGGATGTAGCTAGTGCAAGAAGCTTGTGGTGTCTAAGGAGGACACTCCTCCTGATCCCTGCCCTAGCTGAGCCTCCTCTGGGTTTGAGACAACAGGTCCGTATAAATTTTGGACCTCAGGAACCTGGGGTAAGAGTCTTTTTCCATAAGGCTGTGAATTTTCCCTTGGGCTTGGTCAAAACATGATGGTGATGGTTCTTCTAGATTCTTTCTTGTTGCTTCTCTTGTCTGGAAGTCTATGTTTACCTAAGGAGAGAAAAACATGAAAATAATGTACATAAAATAATTATTTTCCTATTCCTTTCATTTGAATGTAGCAGTTATGTTACATAGTCAGAAACAAATACTTTGTTTTCATCTGAAAAATCAATCTAATATCAGGCTTGCTGATATTATTGTTTTGTATCTGTATTGATGACATTACAGAATATTGACCACTTGTATTACGATTTTTGTAAACAACAGCCTGTGTATGAAAATAATTATTATAATATTATTATGATTAATAATTAATAATCACAATTATTTCCTATCCTTCCCTTTCACCATCGTTATGAAAGGGAAGGTTTGTCACAGTTGACTGTGGTTGTCACGGTTGACTGTGAGCCAGTGATTATCTGTGATTATCACAAAATCTAACACACTTCACAGGGCTGTGTGGATAAAGTGATATGCAAAGAAGGCAAGCATATATCCTTGGATTTGTTTTGTTTTTCAAATATTCAAATAATAATATGATTTCAAAGACATTTTATGTGTGATGCAGTTTATTCAAATATGATTGAGACATCATCAGAGTGATCATGGTTTCTTCAGTTACCACGATAACACCACGGATCACTAAGGATCCCCAGTCCTAAAGGTAATGCTGAAGTACTAAGTTTGATGAACCCAAGAGGAGCACCCATGGTTCCGTCATATCTTACCCCACTACCCATGCTTTGCATCTGCTAACCTCTCGTGGTGCTTGCACATCAACAAATTCTTCAAAAATCCGATGGGCCTTGGTAGCTAGTTTGGTAGTTGATCGTATCTTCTTGAATTCCTCGCATGCCAGCCAGAACTCCAGGTTTTCTTCACTGAATTCTGTCTTCAGAAAGGCACGAAATGCAGCCACTCCATCTGGTAAAAATATTTTAACATGGTTCAGAAATAAAAGGGGCTGCTATTTTCTATTGTGGCAGCCTTGCATGAATCAATGATTGCAGAGTAAAACAATAGAAATTAGCAATTCAACATGATTCAGTCCACATTGCTAATAATTGGGAGCATGGACATATCCACACTTAGTGCTTACTCCCTGAATTTTTACTTTTCCTTATGTACATATGAGGTTTTTTTTTAAAAAAAAACTAAGTCCACTGGTGTACTATTTCATCATTTTTCACATCAATTGAGGTATGAGAGCAGCACCCTCAATTTCCTAATAGCCCAAATTATCTCTGAATTACTTGTGAACTGTAGTTGAAACCCTTGCATTTCAAGTGACTGGGAAAATGAAATTGCTAGGAAACTTTTTCAAACATACAAAGAGAAGTAGGGGAGAGAAAAAAAACAATGTTTTAAAAGTTTCTGACAGATTTCAAACTGGCAGCCTTCCATTTACAAGACAAGAATTATGGCCATTTCAGTATTATGATAAATGTAAATTATAAAAGATATTAAACATTATGATAAGCACTGAGTCAGCTGAAATAGTATTCTGCTTCTATGGGGTAGTCTGGAACAGTTTAGCCTGCAACAAGCCCATTGTCCAAAATGGTTCCTTGCCCATTCTGATGAGAGATCATGATAATCCTTAAGCACATTATTTTGCAAACATTAAAAAATATTTATGGAAAAGCCAAGTATAGTGTTTGAGCATTCTGGAGAGAGAGGGAGATCTATCTGTGTTCTCTTGGGTGAAGGCATTGGGAAGGGGAAGTAGATCTTGCTGACTCCCACTTTTTTTACCGTAGCTCACTGTAGGTTTCACTGCTATACCGGAACATGCATTTCCTTTCCAACAATTTCCACTATTCTAGGCATAGGCCAGAACCCTTCCCACCATTGTTTTAAAACCGGAACTTCAACATAGGCTTGGCAGGGGTTTCACCCTGAAGGTTTCTATTGAAGAGGCTTGATGAGGCCAACGCTACCAGTCAAGGGAATCCCACTAATGAGTCACTTCCTCTGTGTCTGTAGAGAAAGTGAATAGCAACATGCATCTGTTTAATCAAATCTTCCATTCAGGCTGTAGCTAGAGAATTAAATCAGAAATGGTAGAATACAACCCACGCTACCACTTCCACATCCTGTTATGTCTTTCTGAAGAATGATTGGAATCTGAAGGATTATTTATAAAGTATTTCTAATTCCCATTGTGTGTAAAAAGAAGCACCTTTATTCCAATCCTTAAACTGACAAGGGAGAGAGGCGGAGGGAGGGAGGGGGAGAGAGGGGGAGGGAGGGAGAGAGGGAGATAGACAGACAGACAGACTTGCTGCTGGCTACATACAGGTAGTGAGGTTAGTGTCTTTACCTCTTTAGTGCTTGGTAACTGATATTTTGAGCAATAAATAGGCCTTTAATAACAGTGTTTGCATTTCCCGTTCAGCAGGTGCTACAAAATTCGGTCTCTCAAAATATTACAGTCACTGATTTTCTATTAAAATCAATTAGTTGTAATTCAACTGAATCCTCCCAGAGACACTAAACCTATATTTGGACTGTAAAACTGTGGGTTATAAGGGGGGTTTCTGCAAACATCAAAACATATCCACCAGTGATGGGATTCAAATTTTTTTACTACTGGTTCTGTGTGCGTGACTTGGTGGGTGTGGCAGGGGAAGGATACTGTAAAATCTCCAGTCAGAGGTGGTATTTGCTGGTTCTCCAAACTATTCAAAATTTCCACTATCGGTTCTCCAGAACTGGTCAGAACCTGCTGAATACCACCTCTGATATCCACCCAGAAAGCAGAGAGTCTGATTGTTGCTGTTATTACACAGAAGAGGCAGTAAATCGTATCATTCTTTATCTGAAATTACATAATTTATTACTTCAGAAGCTGAGATTGGCTTATTTGTTGCTCAGTGCATTGTGCTAGGCCAGCCAATGCGCTTAGCCAATGATTCAGTATATTAGGTGAATCTAGTATGTTCAGTTAGCCATAACATTCATTTTATTTGTTATTTTATATATTCATTGAATTTAGATCCCACCTTTTCTCTTTAAGTGCAAGTAGCCTATCTGGAGTATTCTGTAGTTTTATCCCTTAATAACAGTTTTGTGAGATGGGTTAGGCTGAGTGAAAATAACTGGTTCACAGTCATTGAGTGAGCTCCATGATCAAATGGAAACTTGTACCTTGATCTTCCTGGTCTAAATCCCAATACCATAGCCATCACTTTGGCTCTGCTATAAGTAAATACAGCCAGAAAGAATCAATCCTAAGTCTTCTTGAGGCATGTGGGATGAGTTACCGCCAATAAAAGGGGCCATTTCAGGCACTTACAAAACCAGTATGTTCTGAAGGTATTGGTTTCGTAAGTGCCTGAAGTGGCCCCTTTAACAGAATAGAATAGAATTCTTTATTGGCCAAGTGTGATTGGACACACAAGGAATTTGTCTTGGTGCAAATACTCTCAGTGTACATAAAAGAAAAGATACATTCGTCAAGAATCATAAGGTACAACACTTTATAATAGTCATAGGGTACAATAAGCAATCAAATCATACTAGGAAACAGTCAATATAAATCGTAAGGATACAAGTGACAAAGTTACAGTCATACAGTCACAAGTAGGAGGAGATGGGTGATAAGGAGTGATGAGAAGATTAATAGTAATAGTAGTGCAGACTTTGTAAATAGTTGGACAGTGTTGAGGGAATTATTTGTCTAGCAGAGTGATGGCATTCAAGGAAAAACTTCTTGTGTCTAGTTGTTCTGGTGTGCAGTGGTCTATAGCATCGTTTTGAGGAAAGGAGTTGAAACAGTTTATGTCCAGGATGTGAGGGGTCTGTAAATATTTTCACAGCCCTCTTTTTGACTTGTGCAGTATACAGGTCCTCGATGGAAGGCAAGTTGGTAGTAATTGTTTTTTCTGTAGTCCTAATTATCCTCTGAAGTCTGTGTCTGTCCTGTTGGGTTGCAGAACCAAACCAGACAGTGATAGAGGTGCAGATGACAGACTCAGTAATTCCTCTGTAGAACTGTATCAGCAGCTCCTTGGGCAATTTGAGCTTTCTGAGTTGGCGCAAAAATCATTCTCAAAGGAGAAGAAAACTTTAGAAAAAGTAGAGGAAAAAGTAGCAAAGGATTGTATATGAATGGCCTTTAAACATTTCCTCTCAAAAAAACGTAAAGCATCACAAGATTCCCAGAGTTCAATTACATCTCAAGGGCAAATGTGACAGTACTACTCCCACTGGGAGCTTTCCCCCCCCCCTTAAACAACAATGTGTCATGGCAGATAATTCCCTTGGGAAACAATTGGAGAATTTCCCAATTTCCTAAAGTAATTTAAAGGCATTTGCCAGCCTCTAACTTTGACAGAGCATTTCAAAATCCCATTTATCTCCTGCCCAAACTATTCATTCTTTTTTTAAAACATCCCAAGACAATTAGAAAAACTAATGATGCCGGGTGAAAGTCAGACTGCTACATTCCTGGTTCCTTATTAAAGTCAAAATGTTGTTCTCCTGTGATTGCCAGAATCTGGAGTGTTAGAAACATGTTAGGTAACTACAGATAATCCTCGACTTGCAACAGTTTTGTTTAGTAACCGTTCAAAGTTACAACGGCACTGAAAAAAGCGACTTTTTACCATTTTTCACACTTACAACCATTGCAGCAGCTCCATGGTCATATGATCAAAATTCAGATGCTTAGCAACTGGTTCCTATTTATGACGGTTGCATTGTCCCAGAAGGCATTGACCTTCTGACAACAAAGTCAATGGGGGAAAAAGACTCACTTAACAATCATGTCACTAACTGAACAGCTGCAGTGATTCACTTAACAACGGTGGCAAGAAAGGTCATAAAATGGGGCAAAACTCACATAACAAATATTTTTCTTAGCAACATAAATTTTGGGCTCAATTGTGGTCATAAGTTGAGGATTACCTGTACTTGTAACCTCAGGGAAACAATATTTAATTTGATCTGTACAAAAAGAAGGCCTAGTGGTGAGGGCACCAGGCTAGAAACCAGGAGATGGCGAGTTCTAGTTCTGCCTTAGGCATGAAAGATGACTGGATGATTCTGGGCCAGTCACCATCTTTCAGTCCAACTCACCTCATAGGGTTGTTTTTGTGGAGAAAATAGGAGGATGAAGGAGTGTTAGATATGTTTGCCACCTTTAGTGATTTATAAAAATAATAATAGTGGAATATAAATAAATAAAATAAATTGTATTTTTTTAAAAAACACCTTCAGTATTTTCCATGGACGTAAAATAATGCTAACCATATTTCAAAAATACTATTAGAATTTCAAAACAATAAAGAGCAGGGGTTTAGTGACAAAATGAAGATAAGACTAAATTAATTTATCACATGAGAGAGAATTGCATACTGACAGATTCCGAACTGTGGAGATACAGTTCTACAGAGGAATTATTGAGTCTGTCATCTGCACCTCTATCACTGTCTGGTTTGGTTCTGCAACCCAACAGGACAGAAACAGACTTCAGAGGATAATTAGGACTGCAGAAAAAACAATTACTACCGAACTTGCCTTCAATTGAGGACCTGCATACTGCATAAGTCAAAAAGAGGGCTGCGAAAATATTTACAGACCCCTCACATCCCGGACATAAACTGTTTCAACTCCTTCCCTCAAAACGACGCTATAGTGCAAGCACTGCACACCAGAACAACTAGACACAAGAACAGTTTTTTTCCCAAAAGCCATCACTCTGCTAAACAAATAATTTCCTCAACACTGTCCAACTATTTACAAAGTCTGCACTACTATTACTATTAATCTTCTCATCACTCCTTATCACCCATCCCCTCCCACTTGTGACGGTATGACTGTAACTTTGTCGCTTGTATCCTTACGGTTTATGACTGTTTCCTAGTATGATTTGATTGCTTATTGTACCCTATGACTCATTAAGTGTTGTACCTCATGAT